AAAACCACGCTACCAGCGCTGGGTCACATCGGCCCCGAGGTCAGATCCATCTACTCTGTTGATGACAAGACTTGTCTACCGGCTGGAGCCGAGCAGGAGGGCCCAGCGCACAACCCCTGGTCAACTCAGGGTCCACACCCCGTACCCACACACTAAGCGAGTACTCCTTCGATAGCACACGTCGCATCTGTAACCATGTGGATTTGTCGATTCCTTCTTTTCCGCAACGACCCCTGGAATTGCGACTCGCCGCTTTCCTCCCGCTGTGATTTGCCAACAACAAACCTACACACAAAGGCTCATTTCTTTCGGTGACAAGGCAAACTTCTTTTCCGTGGTTGTCAAATTCTTTGCGACCGCCTGTGTTGTAAAATTCTTTTCCGACGTCCCTGAAGAAGTCTGCCGACGAGGCGTCCTCCGTCCTCACAAACCATGCACTGCTCGTCAGCAGGAAAGTAGCACTGCTCGGCTCTTCAAAGGGAGTGCTGTTCAGAGAGAGAGATTTTTAGCAATACCAAACAACTCTAACACTCACACGTAATTTGGGGCCTGGAGCCCTGTTCACGCGCGCGCGAGACGTGCAGACAGGGTTGCCAGGTGAGAGCGAATGGCGCGGTTCACGCCTCGCACAACAGAGGGAGAGATGCGCTCTGCATGGTGGGACATAAAAGAGAGCGAGTACTTGGGCGAGTAGGCCGTGCGGTCAACGCTGCCGCGCGCAACTTTGCGCGCGAGGCGGCGCAGCTTGAGAACGGCGGTGGGCGAGAAACCGCCGCCGAACGTCTCGTGGAGCAGCAGGTTGAAGTTGTTGCGCTTGACAAAGATCGCGTCTTGGTAGAAACCGCGATGCGCCTTGACGTAGCCGTGGCCGGTCTTGTGGGAGAAGGGTTGGCTGGGCTGCCCGCGCGCCTTGCAGCCCATGTTCAGGCGGCGGGCCTTCTCTTCGGTGTTGCCGAAGGCGTAGGAGTGGCCGACGGAGGCGGGCGTGCCGCCACTCGAGGCGTTGCCAACGCCCGTCGAGG